TTATAGGATGTTTTAAAGGTTTTTAATAATTATTAGTATTTTAATAATAAATATTTATGAAAATTATTTTTGGATAATATTTTGATTTTTAGTAGCCCAGAACGGGCCGTTGTCAAACTGGAATAGGCCGTTCTAGACTACTAAAATGGACTAGAAAGACTAGACTGGAACGGGTCGTTCCAACAAATGATTCTATGAGTAAAATGCGAAGCCAGAACGGGTCATTCCAATTTGGGAACAAGTCATTCCAGATATGGTCGTTGTAGGTAAAATGTGATTTCAGAACGGGCCGTTCTAGTTTTGGAATAGGTCGTTCTGAATGTGAAATTTACGTATGATGAACGAGTTCAGAACGGGCCGTTCCGGATTTGAAACGGATCATTCTGGCAACTCTTGATGCCTATAAATAATATGCTCTGGCGCTCCTAAAAGGGCATTTTTTTCACTTCTAATATCTTTTTCTTCTACACTCTCTAAAGACCAAGGGGAACCCAAAGGAGGAGACTAGCAAGATCCTGCTTTAGTTTCAGCTCCTAATTATCGAGGTAAGGGGGGAGTGAGAAACATTGCTTTAGGTGTGAGAATATATGTTGGATAGTGGGATTGACCCCTAATCCTATGTTTGTTGTATGCCTATTTATGAGAGATTTTTTCTAATTATATATGTTTCTTCTATTTGCTCTTTTTATATGTAAATAAATGTATGATTTGAGATCTCTATAGGTTCCTATGGGAAACTCTACGGGAATGCATTGGTGATTGTAAGAGGAAATTGTTTAAAAGAGGTGATTGTATGAGTAAATTGTACTATTTTAAATGTTTATTGTATGAATTAGAGTGCTCTGTGGGTTCCTGTGAGAACCTTATGAGAAACAGGCATATTTCTAATATTTTCTGTTTTATCTTCTGATTGTTCTGATATATTCCTTGTTGAATGAGATGTACGAATATGTGTTTAATTTTGCAAATAGACAAGTTTTGATATGAATTAAAGTTCTCTGTGGAGACTATGTGAATATGATGAGATATAATGATGAGATATGATGGTGTGATATGATGATGTGATATTATGATGTGATATGATAATGAGACATGACAATGTGATATGATAATGAGACATGACAATGTGATATGATAATGAGACATGATAATGTAATATGAGAATACATAGAGTCTTGATTGACATGCATCATTTGCATAAATGTTTTTAAGGGTACGATATGGAATACATCGCCAGGAAAGGCCCCCTAGTGTAAGTCCCAGTCTCGCCCATTATGTGCATGGGATGTATCTTATGTGGCTTAGCTATCCCGACGAGATCTTGGTCGTATGTCCCTCTAGTGAGAGTACGCAGAGGGTGTGACTCGGCATGTACTCCTAAACTACTCTTCGTGTATTGCTAGCGGCAATATGCCATGTGATATGTTATTGGCGCCACATGCATGATAATATGTAGTTCGTGTCCATACATATGCATTCTTAATGCTATATGATAAATTGATGTTTTTATGTCTTGGATGAGTTAGATGAGATATTATTATTAATCTATCTATGTTATACATGTCTTGTTTGTGTTTGACTATCTGGTGTATATTCCTACACTATGAGTTAGAGTGAGATGTTTCTCACTCCCTTTTCTTTTGTGTTGCTTTCCTTTGACTATTATACAGGTGATCATCAGCGTGAGGCTGAGGATGTTGGTGATGAAGCTTAGGCTTCTATGTTGAGTTTTGCTCTAATAGGACATGTGACATCAGGGCGTAAATAGGATTAGATTAAAATGTTTTTTTTATTAAATTTTTTTGGAAACCTTAGCATCATTTCTTTGTAATTTTCGCTAATTGAGTTATTTGTTTAAGTTATTGATGTGGTACTACTCTCTATCTAAACACGTTTGGTATTTCAATTATGAAAAAATATGTTATTCAAATTTTATTACCTATGTATTATGGTATGCGGGGTAGAGGGTGTCACAATAACAACCTGTGTTGAAATGACCCGTTCCAATCTAGAATTTATAGGTCTTTTTAATAGTTTAGAATGGTCCGTTCCAATTTGAGAACAGCTCGTTCTGGGCTACTAAATCACCCTAATATAATTTATAAAAATTAAGGTGTTACAGTTAACACACCTTCCTTATACACAACATTTTACTCGCTCATCTTTTAAAGACAAAACTGTAACGAATCAATGAGCACTAAAATAAACAATATCTCAAACAATTATTCTAACTATATGCCATCAGACTTATTATCCAAATATAAACATTTTTTTAGCATGATTTTTGCATGTATTTTTCATTGAATTATTTCTATAGAAGAAATGAAAAACTAACTCTTTTTAATATAGTAAAAATTATTATATTACTTTTATTTATTTATTTAATACAATAAAAATCATTAATTCTCATATTATATTTATAAATATTTTTAAAAATATTTATAACCAATTAAATTTTCATGATTTTTATAAATTACAATTTTTATAAATTATGATTATAATAAATTCATAATTTTCATACATGAAAAATATATCGTTTACTAAACTCTCCTAAATGTTGAGGTCCATTTCTTTATATCAACCTGCTCCAACACTGAACTAGCTAAAACTTCTCAATGACGCATAAGAAGCATAAAGACTTTGGTATACTCCAATCTTAAAGGACAAACAACAAATTTAATTTTCTACAGTCTTAGTGGAGGGCAAGGTCCTAACAATTTCGTGGGAGTTTCAGGGACAATTCCCTTTCCCGACCACGTTTTTTCATATCGTGTCACACAAGCACCTTTCGCTATCCAATGTCACGGTCTTTTAATGACAAAATAAAAGACCATGCAACTCTCAACGGATACCTAGTACCTAGACACACATTTCACACGATTTTAGATTTTGGTAAGAGTTACATTATTTATATAATAAAAACTTACAATACTTTTATAATATCAGTTTTCTTTATGTGTATATCACATTATTCATATTATCTCATTATTTTTTTCTCTTTTCTTTTTAATATCTCGTGTTTGTAAATAAATTGTATTGAAAAAAAAATGTTTAGATAAATTTTTCTAAAAGTACTTGGAGAAAAAGAAAATAAGGAGAAAAAAATCTCTTTAAATTGAAACTTATTAATGCATGAATTAAAATAAATTTTTAAATAACTTAATTTGAAAAATAAGTTAATTTGAAAATAATTTTTGGTTAAATTAATAGCTAAATTATATTTTTCTATCCATTATCTTATTTTTAAAATTCACGGGATTTTCACCGTGTATAAAACTCTTTTTAGTTTAAATGTTAATTGTATACAATAATTTTTTTTATAAGTAAACCTAATGAGATAAATTTTAAATTTTAAATCAACCAAAAAAAATATTTAAAATCATTTTTCAAAATTGAAAACTATTGATGTTTTAAAATGGTCAATTCGACTCAAATTTTAAATTCAAATAAATATTTTAAAAGATAAAGTATTAAATTAAATAAATAAAATAAATAACTAAAACTAAAAGTATAATTTAATTTAAATTAATTTAAAATGAGTTTTACAAATTAATTTATACATAAATTAAAATAGAAAAATTAATTTTACTTTTTTTCTTTTTATTTTCATTTTTCAGATATTTTTATACATTTCTTAAGAGAAATTCTACGGTATCTTTATATATTTGAAAGATTTTAAAACTATTTTTTTAAAATACATGAATATTTGATGTTTTAGAATAATTTGATTATATTTATTTATTTTATGTAAATATATATTTTCTTAAAATTCTTAATATATATTATATAAAATGTTTGGATTTATTAAAGATATTTTTTATATATTATGAATCATGATAATTTATGATTTTTCATATTTTTGCGTAAAGTTTGAGAAACAAATTGAATAAAGAATTTACAAAATCTTCCTTTATTTCAGTAAATAATTTTTTTTTTTGAAGTTATTTTGATTTTCACAAAATGATTTGAAATATTTGAGATTATTTGTTTCCAGTAACACATCACTTAATGTAGAAAAAAAAAATTGAAAGTGAAAAGAAAAAAATTATATTTTAAGTCATTTTTATTAATTTTAAAAATTGACTATAGCAGAACATGTTAATTTAAAAGGTAGTATACTAACTCTCATTTCTTAATTCGCAAGTAAGTTCACAGTCATTGCGTCATTCATTGATCTTTCCAAGTCTTTGTCCTCGTCCGCATTGAATTAGCAACTTCATTGGAAACTTCATGTCATGTTCTTTAACTTTTGCAGCTTGTGTTATAAAGTAAAAAAACAGAAAAAGTGATGTCTAGCTATATATAACTCAATTTCCAACGACGCGTTTATAAATAATGCACTATTTTCTTGTGGTAAGTATATATTGTTGTTAAATACTCCCCCACGTAAGCATGGCAACTCGGCGGGCGGGGCTCGTTTTACGTTCCCGCTCATACCCCGCTCCCGCCTCCGATACTCGCCAGGAGTAAAATCTAGGTCTTCATTCCTACTTTTGGTGGAGTTCGGATTTTCTCGCCCCGCCCCCGTTCTCGCCCCCGCCCCCGTCCCATTCCTATTTTTTTTCTTCTTTTTTTTTCTTTTTTTCTTTTAAATAAATATGAACAATTTATAAAAAATAAAAGAAATAAAATAAAATAA